AAGGTACTAGAATGCCTAAGCTTAAAGAGTTTAAATACGCACTTTTCAGCGCTCATCAGAGATCAAGAGTTTTAGTGTGTGTGTGTGCGTGTGTGTGTGTGTGTGTGTGTGTGTGTGTATCCATTTGAAGATCAATAGTCTTCCTAAAAAAGCGCATCACAGAATATTTAATGGATGCTACCAGGTGTTCAAACCTTGCCCTTGCCTATGGTACAGGTGAGTTTTTATGAAGATAGATTTAAAAGTAATGATACAGAGTCCATAGCTAAACTAAAATAATATTATCATATTTAATAACACTACGATGTTATCTTTCACTCAAATAATACAATCGAAGAGTAATTATGTATATGTGTATTCAGTACTTATTATAGTAATTATGTGTATAATATTGGACTATTGGAGTGGATAAAATCAAAGATAAAGACATAATTGTGATCCTTGTGTACATTTTATTCCCATGCATATATAAGAAAATGTGGTTCCTTGGATTATTCAAAAAAATATAATAATAATAATAATAATAATAATAATAATCATCCAAGAAACTATTGGATCATTGGTACAATAATACTGCTGATCAATCTCACCTTTATCCTAAGACAATGGGCCATCTATTTTGAGTACATTCAAGAAGATATATAAAGAAGAATAATGATAGATCTTCCGACTTCAATTGTCAATTTTTTCTAAATACAACGTGGTTGGGAATTAGTTGAAGCGAAAGAGATGTTTACGGGATTTTTTTTTAAGAGTTCTAATATGATCCAACCGTACTGTATTCGGAGGAGAAGTCGGCAATTGAGGTTGGAAGACCTATCATTTCTCTATAAAGAATCATGCAAAATTGGTTGCAAAGACTTGTGTACTTGAAGAATTGAAGACAGCTATGAGGACTTTTTTTTTCAAAATATATACTCATGGCTACTTTTTTATTTTTGACTGTAACAAAATAAATGTCAAATTTGAAAAGTTAAAGTACTATATATATATATATTTTTTGTAATATTACTAATTTAATCTTTTTACATTGAACTTATAAAAAGTAAACCATCATATCATGTGAATTCATTGTGGACAGATTTAGTAATTTATTCCCTGTCAATATAATAAAATATTTATATATATATTAAAACTCGTCATCTTAAAATGTTAGATTTCAAAAAGAGTAATGATACTTACACCGATTTGTTGCAGTGAATTACCTAATCGAATGTTACTGATTGGTTATTTTTGCACAATACATGTAGGTGGAGGGCCCACTTCTTTTTTATGCATAAATGGATCAATTAAAAGAAATAAGTCTGACAATTCACTGCAACAAATTACATAAATAAAAAAGTGGGTCCCTCCACTTACATGTATTATGCACACAAATAACTAATCTGAAACATTCGGTTTGAAAAATTTTAGAGGAAATAGGGTTAGACTTTAGAGGGAGAGAAGGAGTGAGCTCTCTGATTTGTGCAAGATTAGAAATTTAGGAGTTCTCTGTGTTTTGGCTTAGTGATTGTTGAGAACTTGTTTGACTTGAGCCTTTTTGGTTGGGCTTTTATTTTAAAATTGTGGCTTAGATATTGGGTTTGTTTGAATAGGTTAAAATTGGGGAGCTAATACTATTACTAATTTTTTTCTTTTCTAAAACATTGAGCTAAATATACCTATAATAAAAAATAAATTTTTTTTTTTTATTTTAAGGGGGGGCTCAAGCCCACCCAAGCCCCCCCTTAGATCCGCCGTTGGATGAGTCGAACCTAAACTCTCACATGACTCAAGGAAGTGCCTCTGCCAACTGAGTAGACCCAACTTACCCCACAACTACGAGAACTAATATATGTTGTATGTATATATGTATGTACCCAGATCCCCGCCCTGCCCCTGTCCTGCCACCGTTTGGTAAATAGTTTTGGACAGAGACGAAAGAGCTATGATAAATGAGGATGGGAATAGGGTTGGCTTTCCCTACCCAGTTGCCATCCTTAATCTTTACAAGTGCTTACTTTTGGAAAGGAAAAATTATGATCTATGGTCGGATGTTCCTAAGAATTTTCCTACAATGTGGCGGGGGCAAAATAAAGTGTCGGCTTCAAATTTGTTTGATTATTATTATTTTATTTTTACTTGGAAAGGATAAGAAGATTTCATTGAATCAAATATTTCAAATTGGTTCGATTCAGAGAGTGTGATATGTTCGGTTCCAATTATCTTGTAATTATTGAGACCGAATTGGTTCTAAAATATTTTAGGACTCATTCAATTTGAATCGTGTACACTCTTACTTTAAATTTTTATTTGAAGTTAAGATAAGGCGGAACAAATGAAAAGATGAGGGTTGAACCTGACTTCTATGACCATTTTTTTTAGTCACGATGGATTCACTCGTGAACTAGGTCACGTAGAGCGAGAGCAAAAGTGATAAAATTCAAAATTTAGTTAGAGGAGAAGCCCTTGAGAGAGCTTGTATATTTGTATAATATTAAGTATATGTAAATTATTTTCAACATTTGATGTAAGGTTAATTACACTGACACCCCTTCAAATATTATACTCAAACATCTTTTCGAAAATTACTTACATTATAAATGTTTGGTCATTCTTTTATTTATACCTTAAACGTTACTTTTCAGATGTGTCAGATCACTTTTGATATGTAAAAGACATTATTACCCCCCTTAACTTTGAGTTAACAGACTAAATTATTTTTTTATAATTAAAATGACATTTCTACCCTCGTTGGGCCAAAGTTGCATGGCAAGACAATGGGACTGGCATATATTTATTTTTGGGGTGGGAGCTGATCCTATCTCATATCATATATATGGCCCACAAATATTGAAATATGTGATGGTTATATATATATATATATTCGTTGAAAATATGATAATGTACGGGGATGCATGGGCTCCTTCTACTGTTGCCATAAATGAATCAAAAAATTAATAGAAATGTTTTTTTAAAAAAATCAATTATAAATGTCATGTATAGTAGAAGTTTTTGTTTTTTTTTTTTTTTTCAAAAATTATAAAATTTATTTTTAGAATGTCAATTCGAACTCGAAGCTTGACAACGACATTCAAAATTGAACTCAAAAATTATAAAATTTATGGTAAAGTGCAAAAAACTCCCCTGGACTATACTCTCTCTCCCTAAAAACCCCCCTGAACTATTTTTTGTACAATTAACTCCCTCAACTATCAATTTTTTTGCAAAAATTACATACGGGCAAAATTCCGTTTGATTTCTCCGGCAATTAGGCGCGTGATGAATACATGCCGGCAATATATTTTGAAAATGACAAAATTACCCTTATACTATTAAATGTATAAAATAAAATTTAAAAAATAAAAAAATCCCAAATTAAAGCCCTAAAAAAATCACAGGCGTCGGTGCGGTGAGGGATGGATTTGAGAAAGAGGTGGTCACAGTCCTTATCGCCGTTGGTGTTAGAGGAGGTCGGCCCCCTCATCGCAGCTGGTGCTAGAGGTGTTCGGCGTCCTTATCGCGGCTGATGCTAATTTTCTGGAAAAAAAAAAAAAAAAAAAAAACCCTAACCCACTTTTGTTTCCCGCTCATCTCTCTCTCCGCGATGCCGTCAGTTCACCCACCTTCTCTCTCAATTTCACCACCGCCGCACCCTATCGCGGTCAGTTCACCCACCTTCTCTCTTAATTTCACCACCGCCGCACCCTTAGCCCACATTCTCTCTCTCAATATCGCCGTCGCGACCTCATCACCGCTGTGAACCTGTTTGTAGCCGCCGAAGTCGCTACCATCATCGCTGCGAACTAGCCAGCAGTGTGCGTCTCCATCTCGTTCGTGAAAATTCTTTCTTGTAACGGTCGGCTCGATCATCTGTCATAGTGTCACTATAGGGTTCCGAACTAGCCGTCGTCCTTGGTGACTATCGGACTGTGGATTTGTGATTTGCCGTGGTCTCACAGATTTGCCTGGTCGCCGATTTTAAAACTGATTTACTGTCGTCCCAAACCACTACGCCAGTTCTATCTCCTCCCCTGAGCTCTAACCTCCGTAGTTGCCGTCACAACACCACCATCACTAAACCCATCTCCTCCTCCGAATTCAATGGCTTCCTTTTTTTCACTGTGTGTGGTGTGAATAAAAGGAAGGCTTGTCCAAAAAACTAAATAAATAAATAAAAGGAAGGTTGGGTTTCGTTTGTGATTATTGATTGGCTGATGATTTGGTAGGGATAGGATTCCAACTTCTAATGTTGGTGGTGGTTCATTTTTAGGAATACTGTGCTAGTGGTGGTTGTGGGTCGGGATTGTGGAGATGACAGTGGTTACCAGTGAGAGCCCAACCTCAAACTCCATGATCGCCAGCGCCGACGTGAAACTCTAAGCATCAACAAGGAGCAAACCGGTGAGAGACCGATCTCAAACTCCATGACTGCCGGCGAGAAGCTCTAAGCCTCACGATACAATCCCAGTGAGCAAACCAGTAACTTAGCATCAGCATCATACAAACCCAGTTAAATAAACCGTGAGCATCTTTGAAGGCCCAAATCGAGAACTTCATTGAAGAACAGATGCTGGTATTGAAGGTTGCGATATGTCTGTAATATCTTTGGCTGGAAAAACTAGGGCGTAGGAGAAATAGCCTTACGTGTAAGGCCGTGTTTGGGGGTAAAATAATTAAGGTGATAAAGTACTGCTGTGTTGTCAAAATGCTATTGGATTATTAAGATTTTTTTTTAACACATCAGCAACTGAGGTTAAGACAACACTAAAACAACGTCGTTCCACTTAAGGGTAATATTGTAATTCTCTTTTACCTGTGCTGGAGACTTGTCTACTGTCCTTAACTGTAACTTTATGATAATTTAGAGGGGCATTTGTTGATTTAGGGGGGTTTTGTGCAATTGGTTAAAAATTTAGGGAGATTTTTTGTAATTTATCCATAAAATTTATTTTTAGAATGTCAATTCGAACTCGAAGCTTGACAGCCACATTCAAAATCGTGTGGCTTAGCTCATGAAGACAATGATACTGCATTAGGGTAGTTTTGAAAGTTGAGTCTAAATGGTTTAAATATATTTTTGGGGCTCCAAATCCAATCTTCCATTGTTTACCAAAAATAAATAAAAAATAAAAAATTTCTCAATTTACCATAACACGCAAATCTCGATCCAGATTTCCAGAGTCAACAACCCCTCATTGTGAGAACAATGTCTCTCCTCCTGAAACAAATACGATTTATAAATACTACCTCTTTAGTTCGTCCTCTCCCCATCCCAAACAAGCTGAGCAAATCAATGAGCTGCACTACCATTGTTAAACACTCAAATCTGAGTAAGCTCTCTCTACAACATTTGTGTGTCTATATCTATATATATATTTATATATATTATTATGTATCAACATTTTTGTAATGTTGTTGCAGGTAGTTCAATCAACCCAGAAGTAGCCCATGAGTTCCCATTCTTCCGAGTATACAAAGTTGGCCGAATCGAGAAATTCCGGTGGCCACCGCAAAAAATCCCACCCTCCGACGATCCCATCACCGGCGTAAAATCCAAAGACGTCGTCGTTTCACCCGACCCCGACATTTCCGCTCGGATCTTCCTTCCACGGGTGTCGGATCCCGCCCACAAGCTTCCACTCCTCTTCTACGTCCACGGCGGCGGCTTCTCCTTCGAGTCCGCTTTCTCCACCCAAACCGACCACTACGTCCGGATCCTCGCCGCCGAAGCCAAAGCCGTCGCCGTATCGGTCGAGTACCGGCTGGCGCCGGAGCACCCGATACCAGCCTGCTACGAAGATTGCTGGGCGGCTCTCCAGTGGGTCGCGTCCCACGCTAGCGGAAATGGTCCCGAGCCGTGGCTGAATAACCACGCCGACTTCGGCCGACTGTTTCTCGCCGGAGAAAGTGCCGGCGCGAACATCTGTCACACATTGGCGGTACGGGTCGGGACAGTCGGACTACCAAATTCGAGGATTGTCGGGGCGGTTTTGAGCCACCCGTATTTTGGAGGTACGGACGACGACGCGATGTGGCTGTACATGTGTCCAACTAGTAGTGGGTTGGAGGATCGTAGGCTGAAACCGGCCGCAGAGGATCTGTGCGTTTTGGGTTGCGAAAGAGTGTTGGTGTCCGTGGCGGAGAGAGATCATTTGTGTAGGATTGGTAGGGCCTACTATGAGGATCTGAAGAAAAGTGGCTGGAAAGGAACGGTGGAGATTGTTGAGAGTCTTGGTGAGGAGCATTGCTTTCATATGGATGACCCCACGTGTGATAATGCTACGGCTCTGATAAAAAGGATTGTTTCTTTCATAAAGCATGATTAAATAAGTGGGACACCATGTTGATGCCTTTTTTTTTTCTTTTTTTTTTTCAGGTCATTTTGAATTATGTTTGGGTATGTTATGAGTGTCTTCCGAGTTCTTATTGCCATTGGAAATTGGCTTTTTGACGGCTGATTTCTAATTTTGAAGCATCCAATGTCTTTCTGAAATGCAACCCATATGGGACCACACCACCTACCAATTGTTTATACTACTAGTATATATCGGACTAATGAAGTGTTATCAAGTACGGTGATAAATTAAAAAAAGGGTAAAATAAAAATTATGTGCATTGTTAGTCGCACCATTGCATGTATCAAATGTTTGAGAAGCATCAAAATGTTTTTTTTAGAACCAACTTTGATCTTGAAAACAGCTTGTTATGATTTTTTTGAAAGAGGGTACCTCTGGTTGGGACATCAGTGTTACAATTGTTTATTTGTTGTTAATATCCGATCTCTTCACATTTCAGAATGCATTGAATAATGAGTGGTGGTATTACGAGTTCGTACTTATAAATCACACAATTCCTATTTTAAAAAATTTATGAGAGAATTAATTAAGAAAGAATCATTTACAAATAATAAACAAACCAAAAAATTTCTCTCTTCTCTCCACATTCTCTCTCTTGGTTAGCAGCTTCCGCGTGATAGTTATGCTAGGTTTGATCCATTAGGATCTAGTCCCAATTAATACCACCATTTGTGAGGAAAAAAAATGTAACCAACTTTATACCCATACTCCAACTCTACAATGAATATACTGCACCATTCAAAGATAAACATGCACCTTTCAAACATAAACAAACTGTCCGGAGAAGTGGATTTCTAATGTTAATAACTTGGGTTTGCTTTTTAGGAATCGGTATCAGTCGCTCCTGTACGTTCTCCTTATTCACAAGAAATGCCCTCTTTCTAATTCTTTGTATCGAATTTCAATACAATCAGAGTTTAAAAATCTATTACCAACTTTAATCCCCATGGGTATTTCTCTAACTGCACCAAAAAACTTGGTGTATTGAAGATTAGATTAATTTTTTTTAGTTGAAGATTTGATCTTTAATCTGCCTATCTTACCACAAGGAACCAATACCAACAATTGACTATCAAAACTCCATGAGCTTGAATTAATCATGTTCAAACTTGAATTGAAAAATCTTCTCTTCAATCCTTGCCACCCTTCCTTGAAGAGCAACCCCAAATCTTACTTATGAAATTTTGCAGGCCATTTGTGTTGATAGCATTCGATAGATAGCATTCTTAGACAGTAATTTCCCAAGAAGACAATTCAATTATGAAGCACGGACACGGACACAGACACGGGACACGATCCTACACGGATACGGCGATACGGTAAATTTTAAAAAAAAAACAAAACACGAACACGACAAGGATATAGCAATAAAATAATAATATATATTATAATATATCTATATCTATACTATTATTAAATGTGCAAAGTGTTTCAGTATTTATTTATTTGTATAAAAAAATATTTATTAATTGATATAAAAATAGTTTTTGTAAAAATAGTTTCTATAAAACTCTAAAAATTGTCTAATAAAATCAATCACATTCTATATAAAACTCTTATTTTTAGTTCAATATAAAAAGAATATTTATTTTTATGGATAATTATCATAATATAATCGGCCCGACCCAGTTATGATTATGTAATTATCAGAAAAGGACACATGTCATCATCTTATTAATCCAAGAAGCCTACAAATAGAGGTATAGAGGAAGGAGGAAGGGATACAAAAATTAAGAATTTAAGAAATCCATAATTCAAGAGTAAAATACAGAGTTTCAGTATTACAGTATTTATTTATTTATATAAAAAATATTTATTAATTGATATAAAAAGAGTTTTTATCTATACTATTATTAGATGTGCAAAAAATTTTAGTATTTAAGCATTTATTTATTTATATAAAAAAATATTTAAAACATTAAAATCAACATAATAAAATTTAAATTAACCTATTTATCAACCTTTAGGAGATATTCAAGTGGGATTAAATAAGAGATGATGATCGATTGTGATGATGAAATCTATGTTACTAATTTAATTTGGCTCAATGATGCTTAGCCGCCTTCAATCATGAAGACACGTCCAACTTTGAATGCATTAAACAAAATCAATTTTCAATAATTTCATAATAACTTGCAAGCTTCCTTGTATATATATTTTCCTAATCTTTTATCATAGTTTGTAATATTGGTCGCAGTCTTAAAGAAAATATTTTATTTTCAATAAAACTCTATCACACTAGACAAAGATATATTTAAAGAGTTTCTATAAAACTCTAACACAAATTATCTATTTATTATGAGTTTTCTAATAAAAGGAAATCTAATTAGACAAGTATTATTAATATAAAAAAATTATTTATTAATTGATATAAAAAGAGTTTTAAAAGAGTTTCTATAAAACTCTAATACAAATTACCTATTTATCTATTTATTATGAGTTTTTTAAAATAAAAGTAAATCTAATGAGAGACGAATTATTAAAATAAAAAATATTTATTAATTAAAAATTACCTAATAAAATCATGCAAAGTGTTTTAATATTTCAGTATTTATATATTTATATAAAAAAAATATTTATTAATTGATATAAAAGTAGTTTTTGTAAAAATAGTTTCTATAAAATTCTAAAAATTACATAATAAAATCAATCACATTCTATATAAAACTCTAATTTTTAGTTCAATATAAAAATAATAGTTATTTTTTATGACTAATTAACACAATATAACCGGCCCGGCCCAGTTATGATTATGTAATTATCAGAAAAGGACACATGTTATCATCCTATTAATCCAATAAGCCTATAAATAGAGGCATGGAGGAAGAAGGAAAGGGTACAAAAATTGAGAATTCTAGAAATCCAGAATTTCAGAGTAAAATACAGAGTATTTATTTATTTATATAAAAAAATATTTATTAATTGATATAAAAAGAGTTTTTATCTATACTATTATTAGATGTGCAAAGAGTTTCAGTATTTAAGTACTTATTTATTTATATAAAAAATATTTAAAACGCTAAAATCTATATAACAAAATTTAAATTAACCTATTTATTTATTTATTATTATGAATTTTTTAATAATAAAAAAATCTACTTAGAAAAGAATTAATAATATAAAAAATATTTATTAATTGATAGATAAAACAAAATAACTTTTCTAAAACTCAACCATAAATTAGTTTTTATTATAAGTTTTCTAATAAAATTAAATCTAATTAGACAAGGATATATTTAAATAAATAAAATAATTTCTTTAAAACTCTATCACAAATTACTTATTTTACTTTCAATAAAACTCTATTACACCAGACAAAAGATATATTTAAAGAGTTTCTATAAAACTTTAACTCAAATTACCTATTTATTTATTTATTATGAGTTTTTTAATAAAAGAAAATCCAATTAGACAACTATTATTAATATAAAAAATTATTTATTAATTGATATAAAAAGAGGTTTTAAAAGAGTTTTTATAAAATTCTAACACAAATTACTTATTTATCTATTTATTATGAGTTTTTTGTTTAATAAAAGTAAATCTAATTAGACAAGAATTATTAAAATAAAAAATATTTATTAATTGAAAATTATCTAATAAAATCATGCAAAGTGTTTCAGTATTTCAATATTAATTTATTGTTATAAAAAAATATTTATTAATTGACATAAAAATAGTTTCTATAAAACTCTAAAAATTACATAAGAAAATCAACCACATTCTATGTAAAACTCTTATTTTTAGTTCAATATAAAAAGAATAGTTATTTTTTATGAATAATTATCACAAGGCCTAGTTATGATTATGTAATTATTAGAAAATGACACATGTCATCATCTCACTAATCCAAGAAGCCTATAAATAGAGGCATGGAGGAAGAAGGAAATGGTACAAAAATTGAAAATTCTAGAGAAAATACAAAACTCTGCCAAATTTCAGTATTTATTTATTTATATAAAAAAATATTTATTAATTGATATAAAAGAGTTTTTATCTATACTATTATTAGATGTGCAAAGAGTTTCAGTATTTAAATATTTATTTATTTATATAAAAAAAATTTAAAACACTAAAATCTAGATAATAAAATTTAAATTAACCTATTTATCTATTTATTATTATTAAATTTTTAATAAAAGAAACTCTAATTAGACAAGAATTATTAATATAAAAAATATTTATTAATTGATATATAAAACAAAATAATTTTTCTAAAACTCGACCACAAATTAGTTTTTATTATGAGTTTCTTAATAAAATTAAATGTAATTAGACAATGATATTTTTAAATAAAATAAAATTATTTCTACAAAACTCTATCACAAATTACCTATTTTATTTTCAATAAAACTCTATCACACTAGACAAAGATATATTTAAAGAGTTTCTATAAAACTCTAATACAAATTACCTATTTATCTATTTATTAAGAGTTTTTTAGTAAAAGGAAATCTAATTAGACAAGTATTACTAATATAAAAAATTATTTATTAATTAATATAAGAAGAGGTTTTAAAAGAGTTTCTATAAAACTCTAACACAAATTACCTATTTATTTATTTATTATGAGTTTTGTTTTTAATAAAAGTAAATTTAATTAGACAACAATTATTAAAATAAAAAATATTTATTAATTGCAAAATTACCTAATAATATCAATCACATTTTATATAAAACTCTTATTTTTAGTTGAGAATTACCTAATAATGGTTATTTTTTATGAATAATTATCATAATATAACCGGTCCGGCCCAGTTATGATCATGTCATTATCAGAAAAGGACACATGTCATAATCCTATTAATCCAAGAAACCTATAAATAGAGGCATGGAGAAATGAGGAAGAGATACAGAAATTGAGAATTTTAGAAATCCGGAATTACAGAGTGAAATACAGAAGCTCTGCCAAAGAGTTTCAGTATTTATTTATTTATATAAAAAAATATTTATTAATTGATATAAAAAGAGTTTTTATCTATACTATTATTAGATGTGCAAAGAGTTTCAGTATTTAAGTATTTATTTATTTATATATATATAATATTTAGTAATTGATTTGAAAAGAGTTTTTTTTTTTTTTTTAAAAAATAAACAAATAAAAAAATAAAAAAATCTATAAGACACTAAAACCTACATAATAAAGAGTTTCTATAAAACTCTAACATAAATTACCTATTTATCTATTTATTGTGAGTTTTTTTAATAGAAAATCTAATTAGACAAATATTACTAATATAAAAAAATTATTTATTAATTGATATAAAAAAA